TTATAGTAAATAATATATATTTATAAAAAATTAGATTTAAAATATATGCTTATTAACATATTATTAACCTTTCTAAAACATGCTCCTTGATTTGTAATATAATTAGTAGTATTATTTATTTTTATTATTATATCAATATTACTAAACTATAAAGTATTATTATAAAATGAATTAATAAAAACTTTATTGATGTTTCTCTTAAAGGTTATGTTTTTTTAAAAATTTTTTTTGTATTCTAATCAAGAACAATTTTTATAAGTTTAGGCTCTATTTGTCTATAAATAATATTCATAGATTTTAATGTTACACTTTTATATAATTATATAAAATTGTTTTTATATTTAAAGAAATTATTGATGAATAATTTTCCATAAAATTTTTTAAAGCAGCAAGAAAATTTTCTATTCCTTTAAATTGCAAAGAATTTATACTTTTAAATTATTAAAATTTTTCTAAATGGTCATCAAATAATAAAATTTATATATTTCAAAGTTTATCAGATTAATATTCCTCTTTTTTATATTTTAGTTTGCTTTATAATTTCTGTTTTTATTAAAGCTTTTTGTCAAACCTTAATTAATATTAAGTATAAATTTACTAATTTTATTAAAATTTTAAATAAAAGATTTAATAATATAAATTTTAATTCTTACTTTATTTAGTATTTATTTTATAACTTCCTTTTTATTAATTTTTCAATAAGGATTTTTAACATAAAACTTATGTAAAATTTTATAAGTTTTTATTGTAAATTTATTAATTATTTTAAATTGACGAATAATAAGAATTATATAATATCTCTAAAAATATAATTTTGATAAACGTAAATTACTAGAACTAAATTAAGAAAATATTTTTACAAATTTATAACTTTATTTTACTATCAATTTCTATAAAAAATTAAAATAAATTAAATTGTTTAATATACAAAAAGTATTATAATATATTTATCTCAAATGCAACTAGATCTTCTTCTGAAAATTTTTCTTTATGACTTATCATATATATTTGAATAAAAGAATAATATATAGAGTTAAAAATATAAATAAATACTTATTATTATAATTTTGTTTTAATGCTTTATCATCAAATAAACTATCAACTATATGTATTATTATTTTTATTATTATGTGATGTTTATTAGCTATTTATATAACAGATATTTCATTATTAAAAATTTTTAACCTAGGAAATTTTAAAATTGCTACTAATTGATTATTAAACTCTTCAATTACTTAATTTTCATATTGCTTAAATAATAGTTTTTGTGAATAATCAATCATATATTTAAATAATCCTAAATCTAAATGATGCATACAATTAGGTAAAGCTACTTTATAAATATTTAAGATTCTATAAATTTTAAATAAAATTATTAAATATTTAATACTATTATAATATATTAGAAAATTTCAAAAATTACTTACAAAAAATCCCAAAATATATTTTTTTGATTATGTATTGAATAATCATGAGCTTTTTCTTCTTTAATTATAGAAGTCGTTAATTTAAGTATTCAAAGAATTATTTCATTATTTGAAAATTTTATATTATTTAAATCTTCACTCATTATAATACAATTTAAATATGACCTTTTACAATTAGCTGATTTATAAATATATGTAATTGTATTAACTTTGAACATATCTACAAGGAATGTAAAAATTCTGAATGTAAAAGTAACCTGCTTTTCTTTAATTATTAATTCCATTTCTTCTAATTTTAAAATTGATTGTAATATAATACTCTAATATTACTTTATAACTTTACATGCAAGTCTTTAAAAATTTTAGATTTTTGATTGTTTTATACTTACTTTGAAGAATTGGTAAATAATTTAATAATGTTTTAGCATTTTTTTTATTTCTTTGTCATGAAGGAATATTACCTAAAGTAAGAAAAACTGGATGTTATTAATATTTTCCTAAATTATCATAAAGAATTACATTTAAATATATTATTATAAATAAAATAAAACTTCTAAATTTTAATTGATTTTCTATTTCTTACCATTATTTACAATTATATTGTTCAACAAAAATATGAGAAGAAGTACCTTCTATAAATATATTAAAATAAAATTAAATATAAAAATAAATAAGATTATTTATTTAAAAATAATAATTTCTTATTTCTTTAAATTGAAATGCAAAATATCTGACTTTTAAAGAAGTAATTTAATAGTTTTAATAATAGATTAATAATAAAGACTATATAATATTTTTTTAAAATCAATTATATGCTTCTTTTTAAAATCAAGATTTAATACTTCTATTAAATTTATATATCTATACATTTCTTTGACATTTTTTGGTAAAGGTGATTCTTTCAAATTTGCATTTTTATTAAAAAATTTAATAAATACATCTGTAGCTTTATTTGATAAATCATAATCAATATAAATTATTACAAATTCTTAATAAATATCATTAGGATATTGTGATTTATTATCAATAATTGTATTATTTATATCTTCTTCTAAACTAGCTTCATGAAAGTCTTCTGAATCTATTGAGTCAATTTCAGTACTTGAATTATTTTCATCAATTCTTGAGATAATAAAAGATTAGATAAAATTCTAAATTATTTATAATTTCTTTATTATTTTCTTGTAATAACAAAAAATTAGATAGATTTTGTATTTCTATTAATATATTAGCTGATTCCTTTAAATTAATATTAAATTACTAATAAATAATTATAATTAATTAATAAATATATTTTAAATATATACCTTAATATTATAATTATTAGTTGATATAATTTAAGTCAAATTTTCAAATAATTTTTTATCTTAAAAAATTTCTGCATCATTTTTATTAGAACTATTTTGTAATATTTCATCTTCTTTTTTAAAACTATTTTGTATTATTATATCTTCTTTTGTTCACTTTTTATAAAAATATGATGATTTTGAATATGTTGTATTAATCCTTATTATTTTATAAAAGTTTAATAATATCCTTTATAAGGGTAATGTAAATTCATTATATAAAAAATTGTTTATTTTTTTTATTTATTTTAAAAAATGAGAAAGCATTTAAATTATAAAAAAAAAATCTTTATTTTCCAATTTTACTATTTATAATTTAATTAAATTGATACATTTTTTCAGTTTTATTATAATAATTCAATATCAAATGATCAATATTTATTATTACTGCATTTGTATAAACTATTTAAACTTCTTACTATTGTTAAACTTTTTTATAAACTCTTTTTTTTTTTTTACAAGTTTAAAAATTTTTCATTTGAAAATTTAACTTTGCTACAAGTATTATTTTTAATAATTTACATAATGCCAACTCTTAAAGGAAGTAAAAAAGGTTTTTTAAATGATTTACACCTTTGTTAACTAAAAAAATTTACTAAATAAATGAGATTTAAACTAATAATAAATGTTGCAATTCTAGTTACTTGAAAAATATGTACTTTTCTTAAAGAATTACATAAAAATTTATTTTCAAAGTTACTAATTACTATCTCATAAGTAATTGCTATTATAAAAAAATCAAAGTATATTAATTTTCTTTAATTACTAATTAGAATATATTGTATATTAATATCATATTTAAAACTAATAAATTGTTTAATTTTTTATTATTGATTACATATAAAAGAAAATAACAAATCATTAAAAAATATAGAATCATCTAATAAAAAAAAAAAACAAATTATTTGATAAGGAAAAGGATAATAAATCACCTAATAAGAATAAATTGTCTAATAAAAATGAAAATAACAAATCACTTAATAAAGATAAAAATAATGAATTGCTTAATAAGAATAAAAATGATGAATCATCTAATAAGAACAAAAATAATAAACTATCTAATAAGAATAGAAATTATTTATCTGAGATGTTTAATGAAGAAGAGAATAATAAATTATTTAATAAGAAAAGGATAATAATTATTTACAAAATAGTAATCAAATTTCTTCAAGGAAACATAAGTGAAGTAATAATATTGAATTAATACAAATATCCAAGAAATTTGTAACTGATATATTATATAGTTTTAAAATTTAATTTAAATCTCAATTAAATTTTTATTTTTATTTTTTAAAAAAATTAGGAGATAATAACAATTATTATTTGGTTCCAGCAAAATTTTTAAAAAAATTAAATGTTTATCTAAAAAGGTATGATAAAGCAAAATAAAAAGCTTGATAAAATTAAAAAAAATAATATCAAAATTATAATATAAAAATAGCTTATCCAAAAAGATTTTTTACATTTAACAACAGAATTATTTAAAAAATATCTGAAAACTTATGTTAAAAATCATTCAAATAGATATATAAATATAATATAAGAAGATACAGATAGGATTCACATTTTTTATTCAAAGTTTATACCCATAGTAAGTATTATTTCTTTTTTATTATTAATATTTAGTTTTTTTTAATCATATTTTTATTAAATTCTTAATTAGTATCTTAAAAAAATATACTATCATAAAAGATTTCTTGTGAAAGATATACAAATAATACTATTTAAAATATACTCTAAAGTTTCAAAAATAAAGACAAACATAGATGCAAAAATCATAGAATAAAAGAAAATCTATATATTACAAAAATATATGATAGTTTGTGAAAGATAAATGAAAGTGATCTTGTTATAATTAACAAAATCATTTTATTACCTATACTAAAGCAAAAAAAAAAAAAATTCTTTAAGACTTTCAATCATTACATTTACACTTGTAATTTGTTATATTATTTTAAATCTACATGATAATAATATCCAATATACTGAAGAAGCTATCAAAAAAAGATATGCAATTTTTATAGTAAGTGAATTTATAATTTAATGTTACTTTTATATATTTTTAATTAGTTTCTAATTTGGTCAATAAGCGTGACTAAATATGCATCAAATTTCAAATGAGAATAATATTATAGATATTCAAGATAATATCATAAAAAATAAAAAATAATGATTATAATAATATTAATAAAGATAAAAGTTCAGAAGAAAATGATAATAATGATAAATTATTTAAATAATAAAGTAAGTTATATTTAAATAATATCTAATATTTATTTTTTTATTATTATTAATAATTAATGATAGTTAATGATAATTGATATTGATTTTTCTTAAACTCAAAGGGTAATGATTACTTTAAACGTTCATTCTACTTTCTATTTCTTTTTCTATTCCTTAAGTCTGTGAGATCAGTTAAAAAATAGACTAAATTTTCTCTAT